CACCCGAGCTCCACACATGGCTGAGTCCATGGTTTCTGCAGTATCTACCCATGTGATCTCATCTTTTCTGTGACCATAAGTCCTTCCTAAATGCCACTAGAGATTAAATTTATATGTTTGGCTCAGTTTTCTCCTCTGAGCTTGAACTTGCAGATTCAACTCCCTTGTTTACATTTCTTTTTAGAAATCCAAAAGAAATTTAAAACTCAAATATTTGCTTTTTAAACAATTATTTACCCCCTTCACCATATGTGTATAATATTTGTGTGTGAGTGTAGGCACACACATGCTATATAATACACGGGCGGAGGCTGAGGACAGGCTGCAGGGTCAGTCGTTCTTTTCCACCATGTGCATTCTGAACATAAACTCAGTCATTAGATTTGGCAACAATTGTCCTTACACACTGAACCCTGTTTCTGGTAAAAAAAAAACAAAAACAAAAAAAAAACAACAAAAAAAAAACCACCATGTTTTTTTAAACAACTTTTGATCCTGCCCTTCTCCTTAAACAGTCTTTCCTCCAGCATTTCCTAGATCAGTAATGAGTACTGCCCAACTACTGCAGGCTAAAACCTGAGCAGCTTTGTTTTCCTGGTACATCCAGCACTTCAGCACCTACTCTCACTTAACCCTCCAGTGGATCCTCTTGGCTCTGGTAAGCCATTGCATATCTGAACCTGTGAACCTGCTTCTGCCCTTGAGCTCTGCAACGTGGGTGATTGTCAGCACACACATCAGCCACAAAGACTTCCCGTGCGCTTAGGACAAAATCCGTGTTCCCATCGGCCTACGGCTGCACATGGTGTGCCCTCCCTCTGCTCTTCCGCTCTCCTCCTCTTCTCATTTGTCTTCTTCCTGTTTTGGTGATGCTGACCTCTTAGAAGCTTGAACTCAAACTAAACTTCACACCTTTGAGACTTCATGTGCATTTTTCCTCTGCTGAGACACTGTCTTCTCTCTCCCATCCCACAAAGTCTTATTTATATTCTGTATCTATTAAGTCTATGTGTATTACTTTCTTAAGCCATATAGGGGAAAAACATAGCAGATGATGGCAAATGTTGTGGAAGAAATGCCTGGATTCTGGGATGCAGGGTATTAGGTTCAGGTAGTAAAAGAAATCCTCCTTTGCCCAACCACCCAGGCTCTAAGTGGTGTTTCTCTGTTACTCCCAACCCATTATAAGCTGGCATTGTTTGTAGTACCCAGTCTACAATAGTTTGTCATTGTCTAGTCTGTCCCACTGCCTGGCCTCAGACTATCCTTTCATAGCAGTTACCACATTTTGGTAATACATTTAGTCACTCCTGTGTCCTTCTACTGGACTCTGGTAAGGGATACAGTCATTCTTAACTCATTTGTTGTTGTGTATGAAGGAATGAGTAAATAAATAGTTCAGAATGGACAGTTGTGAACTTAGGAAGCAATACAATGCATACCAACTTTTGTGTTAATAGATAATCCTTTCAGTATTGTGTGCTGCAGTATTCTGCCACTTGGGGGCAGTTATACATCTGTGATTAAATTTATCTAGCTTATCATTTCAAACTTTTTTCTTCTGTAATTTTCACATGCCTGCTTTATGAATATTCAAGATAAGAGGTTCCTGTACTGTTTATACAAGTCTGTATTTCTGCTTGCTGTTATGCTTAGTGTTGATTTTCTGATACTTTGTTCCATCATCCTTTGGACAATATGATTATATGTAATTTCACATTTTCAATATGTAACTTCCCACACAGCTGTATTCTAGGTTTCATTTAGTAAAGGGGTTAGGTGTGTGAGGGTGACCCACCTTATCTTGTCAACAGCATAAGTGAATGTAATGAGCCTAATACAAGACTTGCATGTAGGTAACTTCTGTCAGCAAACTTAGATTTCATAAATGGAAAGAGGAAATTTCATATATCTATAAAGTATACTTTTATTATCTCTTCATCCCTATGTATCTCCAACTTCCTTTGGTGTCCCCTACACTGTCTTCCTTTAAACTTCCTGTCCTTCTTTTGGCTATTAATACTCCCTGAGACCAATTAGTGCAGCTAATATATGATGGGTGTAGGGTCACCCATTGGGATATTGAACAATTTACCAGGGTCATGTCCTCAAAAGAGTATGAATCGATCTCCCTCATCACCCATCAACTGCCAATAGCTCCTATGCCAAGGGTCGGGCCTTAGAGCCCCTCCTACATCCATGCTGGGTTTTTGACTGGAGTAATCTTGTGCTGGTAATCACGGATGCTATGAGTTGATGTGTGCAGAAGCTGTGTCAGGTATAGATGTCAGCATTTCACAATTTTCTTCCTCCTCAACCAATGCTTAAAATTCTTTCTGCCCCTCTTCCATAATGCTCACTGAGCCTTAGAGTTGCTTATGTTGGCACTTTGACCAGTTATGAGTCTTCTGCATTAATCACTCACTGCCTGCTGGAAAAACAAGCTGTGATGGTTGGTGGTGGTGCATGCATTTAATCCCAGTACTTGGGAGGCAGAGGCAGGCAGATCTCTCTGAGTTTGAGCCCAGCCTGGTCTATAAAATGAGTTCCAGGATGGCCAGGAGTACACAGAGAAACACTGTAGTAAGGGGCAACAGGCTGCGTTCCTGCCGCCCGGCTCCTGGCAGCCTGGCTAGCTTATGCCCCAAAATAACAACACACAAATTGTATTCTTTTAAACACTGCCTGGCCCATTAGTTTCAGCCTCTTACTGGCTACTCTCACATTTTGCTTAACCCATTTCTAATAATCTGTGTAGCACCACGATGTGGTGGCTTACCGGGAAAGATTCAGCATGTCTGACCTGGCGGCTGGCTCCATGGTGTCTGGCCCAGAGAGGAGAGGCATGGCAATTGCCTCACTTCCTCCCAGCATTCTGTTCTGTTTACTCTGCCTACCTAAATTTCTCTCCTATCAAAGGACCAAAGCAGTTTCTTTATTAACCAATGAAATCAACTCAAAACAGAAGACCCTCCCACACCATGTCTCAGAAACAAAACAAAACAAACAAAATAAAAAACAAGTTTCTCCCACTAGGGTTGAGAACATAACACAAATCAATATTTAGAAGGCAGTTGGATAGCTTAACCAATAAGCAAAACAACAATAGTAAATTCCTGCCAGGTTTACAGTAACAGGTTTGGAATCCCTTCTGTGAAGCCAGATTAAAGTCCAGTCAGAAAGCCAGGCGGGTGGCAGCGCACGCTTTTAATCCCAGCACTCAGGAGGCAGAGTCAGGCTAATCTCTGTGAGTTTGAGGCCAGCCTGGTGTATAAGAGCAAGTTCCAGGACAGGCTCCAAACCTACAGAGAAACCTTGTCTCAAAAAAAAAAAAAACAAAAAAAAAAAACAAATAAACCAGTCAGAAAGTTGTTGGTTACTGCTTGACACGACAGTCATGCCACTATTGCACCAATGTCCACATATTGCCAATCTGGTTAGTATTGCAGCATTCAGGGTCTAGTGCTGGATGAGACCATTGATATAGTTCTTCCCCCCCCACCACCCAGCAGCCTAAGATTTCTCACCATTTCCAAATAGTTATTATCTAGGTCTGCTGCCAACACATATATTATTTATACTCATGATTCTTACAACTCCCAGGCGAGGTTGGTATAGTTGCTATTAAAATAACAGAAGCACGGAGAGTAAAGACACCTACTATGATGCAGTAAACAGAAGAGGTGGTTAAAGGTGGGGAATCTGGTTCCAGAGCTCATATACCCGACTCTTGTGCCTCATTACTTGGACCTTCCCGAGGCTATCAGTGCTTCTAAATGACTTCAGTAAAAACTAAGGTGCTCTCTCTCTCTCGCTCGCTCTCTCCCTCTCCCTCTCCCTCCCCCTCCCCCTCATGTGTTATGTGTATTCTGGTGCATGGTATGAAGGTTTTTTCCCTCACCTTTCTTCTTGATTGAGGCAAGTCTCCTTTTTTTTTGTTTTTGTTTTTGTTTCTGCTGTTATGTTTTATACTCTAGGCTATCTGGCTCATGAACTTCTGGGAGATCTTGTGTACTAATGTTTATATATATACCAAGTAGTTGCTTTAAAATAAGTTGTTTATGATTTGTTATCTTTGTGTGTCTGATTTATGTACCTGTTTTATTTGCCTATATACCTGTGGTCACTTAAAGATTTCTCACTTGAAAATGGGTCATGAGTGGGAAAAAGTTGAGGAAGCCCTGGCTTATATAGTTGAGTTTCTTTGTAAGACAATTTCCAAATGAAGTCTTTCTTAATTTGTTTGGATGGCGTGATTTTGTTAGTTTCCTTTGTGTGGTGCCTGGCACATGACAGGAGCTGAGTGAATAACTGCTAAGTTAATGGTTTAAAAGTGGAATAAGGAGCCAGCGAGATGGCTCAGCAAGTAAAGGCACTTGACATCACATCTGGTGACCAGAGTGTGGTCCTGAGACCCACCCACATGGTGCACATGCTCACACACATACACAGCACACAAATATAGAATAAATATAATTTTAAAATGAAACGAAAGGAATGATCACATTATTTAAATCTGTGGTGTATCTTAAAATGTCTTGTTTGTTAGGCCCAGTTACTTAAGGTTGAGAGGGAAGAATATTTAACTTTATTTAGGTGTAGTGTAGTTACTTCCTCTTGGATAACACAAGTCATTATCTGTTATTTTGAGGTTCTCCAGGTAAGGTGAATTATGTGTGTATGATTTATACATTGTTGCTATATATATTTAAGAATACATCTTTATGTGTACGTGTGCCTCAGTTATGAACTTGGATACATTTTAATATTAGACTTGTATGTCCTTCATGGTCCCTTCACATTGCCTGTTTATGACGTACCTTTGTGAAGTGCTGTGTGAGTGGTTTCAGACAATGTGGGGCTGGAGGACCTCTTCCTGACTCGTGATTATTCAGTACTGAAACCCTTTAAGTTAGTGTTGTAGCTGATTCTAAAACACAGAGCAGCCAGGTGTGCACTGCTGCGGTGCACAGCATGGTCAGCCTCTGCTGCTCTTACAGGTGCTTGCGAGGGAACTTTGGCTTGCTCCACCTGCCACCTTATCTTCGAGGATCATATATATGAGAAGTTAGATGCCATTACCGATGAGGAGAACGACATGCTGGACCTGGCTTACGGACTCACAGACAGGTGAGTAGATTTTGTTGGTTAGTTTTGTTTTAGGATCGGTGTCTTAACTTTTGGTCAGGGTGGCCTCACACTCGTGTGTGCTGAGATCACAGGCATAAGGCACACTGTGTGTCTGACCTGTGAGTAAGTGACATCCTGGGGAAGTCTGCATTATCTTCCTTCAGGTCTAAGATCACTCCACGAGTAGGAGTAGATAGAGAACAGTCACGAAGTTTAAGCATCCTCTGGGAACGTTTCTCTTTCACTGTCCACACTTGCTCCCCATGAAGCTTCCCCTTTACAAAATCAAAGAGTTAATTGGTAGTAATAGTTTCTAATCCAATTACATCTTTAGTCTATTTTTGCCAGGAATTAATATTTATCATAATTTCATAGGATTGAAATAAATGGAATGCTTTTTATAGTATTCTTGAAGAACAGATTTGATAATTGAACAAAATTATAGTGGAAATTTTACCTGTCTGAGAGAACTGAGTTTTCAAAGAAACTTAATATATAATAGTAATTATGTTAAGGTGAGTAGTTCTTTCTCTAGGTGTATAGTAAAGTAAATTAATCAGAGCTTATTAATTAGTAGGTAGTTTCTCTTAAACACAGTGAGCTTCGCAAAAGCAGATGGCATCAGTGATACTATTTTTTAATTATCCCGTCTTAGAGTCAAGGAAGGCTTGTCCTTGATTGACTGTTTCAAGGCATAATTAAGGAGGCTTATTTCTTAATGAGAGTGGGTTTTGTTTAACTGTATTTTGCTACCTTAATGAAGAATAACTTCTTAAAAACTGTATTAGCTTACAAGATTCATGTAGTAAGAATAAATTTTTTAAGCAGTTATAGTGATAATAGTTTTATTAATTTCAGTTTGTTTCTTTTATAGTTTTATAGTTCATTTTTCCCAATTTTCTGTTCTGTTTGGTTTTGGATGCTAAGGGCCTTGCCCATGCTAGACAGAGCATCCTGTCCGTCAGTGAGCTATGTCCTGGCCTCCACCTTCCTCTTATTGAAGTGAGACTAATACCCTGGGAAGAAAGAGTGAGCTCTTCATACCTTTTACATCCAAGCTGCCGCACTTATGCTTGGCTGCGCTCTGGCCCTGGGGTGCTGTTTCTCCCCACACTGTGCCTACAGTGTTCTGCTTTGCCTCGCTGACAGTCGCTTCGCTTTCTGAATCATTGTCCTCTAAAGGATAGCCTTGTTTCACTCACCACATATGAAATGCTGAGTACCTGACTGTCGCCCTAAGACCTCCCAAGTCCTATAGTTATCTCTGTTGCCTTGCCATGGTTTTTGCTCTCGCAGATAGAGCATGATGCATAATTAAGTATTGTCAAGGCTGTTTCTAATTCTACAAAGAAGAACTACTGATGGGAGGTGATTTTTTTTTTCTTCCAATCATCAAAATTTTCTTTGGTTAAACTGGCTTTCTTACTCCACGAAGTGGTGCCTCACTATGTCTAAATTTATATGTGTTGTCCTGGCTGCTTTTTTTGTTTTTTCAAGCAAGCTTTCTCTACCTTTGGAGCCTTTCCTGGAACTAGCTCTTGTAGATGAGGCTGGCCTTGAACTCACAGAGATCCGCCTGCCTCTGCCTCCTGAGTGCTGGGATTAAAGGCGTGCGCCACCACCGCCTGGCTGTCCCGGCTACTGTTTTAAACTATAATTCTCCGTGTAATTTTTCTTTCTTTCTTCTTTTCTCCTCAGAGGAGGTGCTGGGTGGATTGTACAGTAGGCGAGTGCTCGGTCATTGAGCCACAACCCAGCTCATTGCTTGTCCTTGTCCATATTTTGCAGCAACAAAACGGAAGTGCCTACTTTGCCTCTCCCTCAGATGTTCTCCTTAGGTTCTTTTGGCTCTTCCTGAGTGTTAAATCTTACACGCCCTTCAAAGTCTTCTCTAGACACCACGTGTCCTGTCCAGGGTTCATTGTTCTGTTTGTGTGGCACTTGTCACAGCTCGCTATCGGTTGTCTCATCTCATCTGTCTGATTGACAACAGCAGTTAGTCTCTTCAACAGTCCTGCAAGCGAGCCTTTTCTCCTCCATCTTGATGATCAGGTTAGGAAAGAACAGAAAGTTGCCTGTGAACACACTGTTAGTGCTGGCTTTCCACTGGCTGGTTTTCTCTAAATTCTGTGCTTTCCTCTGAATGCCTCTCCTGTGCCCAAGGTGTAATAGGTGAAAGCACTGAGTTGAGTGCTCTGTGTATACCCATTAATGTGTAGTACTGTACCCATTGGCATTTAGTAAAACAATCACTGACATTTAGTAATATACCAGTTGACATTTAGTACTGTACCATTGACATTTAGTGGTAGAAATTTTACCATTATACATCCAGTAAATGTTTGAAGCCATTAATGCAGCTAATGCTGTCAGAACATGATGTCAAAGAGAGTTTGATTATAAGATTAGCCTTTTTTTTTTTTTCAGTATTGGGAACTGAACCCAGGGCTTTTCACATGATAGGAAAGTACTTTACACTGAGGTGTATCCCAGCCCTTTATTTACTTTTTTTGTTTTGAGACTGAATTTAAGTTAAATTCAAGCTGGAATTCTTACTCTTTTGCCCAGGCTGGCCCTCAATTTGCATTCCTCTTGTCTTAACCTCCTTCGTGGCTGAGGTGACAGGCACATGCCACCAGTCCTAGCCTAACATGTAACTTTTGTGTACTTCTAAGAGAAAAGGAAAGTGCTGCTTATTAAAATCTGCACTGTAGTATCTCTTCATTTAATATACTGCCTGCACTTAGAAAGCTTGTTCAAACATAGCCGTACACATGGGCCACATTTGTTGAAAACAGAGCGTCTAAGGAAAGCATGATTGGTAACAGTTTTGTGAAGGAAGAGGGGAAGATGAAATGATGGTCAGTCTTCCCATCACGGTTACACATTTGCATCTGCTGGCTTCCTCTGGTGTCAGTGATTTTGGTTTTATAATCCTTTTGGATTTATTTTGAAAGGGCTAAAACTTTAACACCTTTGGAGTCAACAGCATCCTTCTCTTACTTGGTTGGAGACACTGGTGTGTATAATGTGACCGAGTCCACAGCTGTGACACAGCAACCACTTCATATTGTAGCAGTGACTGTAAGATGCCATTGACCTGAAGATGGACTTTGATTTCAGAGATGTTAAAAATATGGGGGAAATACATTCTTACAATTGATGGTTTGAATCTATAGATTTCATTTTTGTCTTAAAGAATTTTGTTGTTATTGTCTGGCAGGATCTCTTATGAGGATGGTCATGAACTCCTAACCTGGCTCTGTCTTTTAAGTATTGGGTTTATAGGTGCTTACCACTATGGTTGTTTGGTGCTGACCTTCTGCTACCTCTAGTTGGGTTGGAGAGGGTGTCTGCTTTGGCTTAATGAAAACGTGGAAGATTAGCAAATTCTCCAACTGCTTTTTGCAAGAAAGTATAAAAATATCCTAAACAACTACAGGCTTCTGAATGACATGCATCCAATACTAAACTGAGCCTCCTTCCTTTCCTTGCAGGTCACGGTTGGGCTGCCAAGTCTGTCTGACCAAGGCTATGGACAATATGACCGTTCGTGTGCCTGAGGCGGTGGCGGATGTCAGACAATCTATTGACATGAGCAAGAATTCCTAAGATACATTAAAAAGAAATATTTTCATGAAATTTTTACCTATTTTTATAATTATTTCCCAGTATAATTAAATGATTACACAACAGAATATATTTCTCCTTGTGAGTAGCTGTGTTGTCTTAATTCAGTTCGTAGTACTGAAAGTCTGCAGTTTTCGTTTGATTAGATTATTAAAATGTCAGTTTAATTTTAGAAGCTAGCTGATATAATAAACTCCTTACACATTTTACCATGAATGTGTTCAAGTGATTTTAGTAAAACATTACTGTGTAATCTTATGTCTGCTTTTTTAAGAGGTAAGTTTAAAAAGAGTGTCGTTGGGGATAGATAGTTAGATCAGCAGTTCAGAGCACTGGCTCTTCTTCCAGAGGACCCACTTCAAATCCTAGCACCCAATGGCTGCTCATAAGGGTTTGGAACTCCACTTTTAGCCTCCACAGACACTGCATGCATTTGATGTATAGGTATATGATCAGGTAAAACGTTCACACTCACGAAATAAAAATTTCAAGAAACAATTTTTTAAAAAACTTGTCACTATTCTTGTTTCATGTAGGCAGGAGATCTCCATATAAGGTGGTTTGAGCAGGGTGTAATCAGAGAATCTGTGCTTCTGGCTGTCAGTTTCATGTTTAGACGGAAACTGACGGAAATATGAAGATCTCAGCTGAGGTTGGCAGATCTGTGTTACAGAGGACATCATGCGACCTCTCAAACAGTACGGACACAAGACCCAAAACTGGCTGATTGACAGGCCTGCTGGAACCACCTCAACTGGTCCTGTACTTCATGATAATGGCGTGTGTGTATCATTAGCCTTAAACTATTCTGTTCCTATTGTCCACTCGGTACAAGGACCACTCAGAAACTCCACTTAGGGATAAAAAGGGTAAGGAGAGCTTACTCTGTTCAGTAGAGATCTTGGTCCATTCCTGGGGTTCTTTAGTGTGCCTTAACTTAGGACTAATTGTCCTCCTTAAAGTTTGCCTGTAATACATCTCTCAAATCCTGTGCCACCCATCCCTCTCAGAAGCTTCCACTCACCTTTGGGTGTGTCCTTTTGTACTGTAGTAAAACTTTTCCTCAGTTTGTTCTTTGTCTTAAAGTCCTTTTGTTTTTTTTGGTTTTTTTGGTTTTTTTTTTTTTTGGTGGTGGTGTTGGTGGAAAGAACCTGGAAACACTGGGAAGAGGCCTCAGTCTGCTGTGTCTTGGAGAGCCCACTCCTCAGCCTCCATCCGCAGGAAACAGTGGGAAGAGGCCTCAGTCTTCTCTGTCTTGAAGAGCCCACTCCTCAGCCTCCATCCGCAGGCAGCATGATGTATGTATTTAAATGTATATGCGGGTGGAAAAGATACTTAATTGCTGAGTGAAACGTTTAATGTCTTTGTCTTTAATTATTTTTAAAAAAACTTTTTTTTTAAAAGCAAAGTGTTGTTTTTCTTTTACTTTAAATTTTGTTTTGGTTTCATTTGTTGGGTTTTTCATTGTTTTAAGCTTTTTTTTTAAGATTTATTTATTTTATGTATATGAGTGCCTTTATGCCAGAAGTAGGCATCAGATCTCACCATGTGGTTACTGGGAATTGAACTCAGGTTTTCCGGAAGAACAGCTAGTGTTCTTAACCTCTGAGCCGTTGCCCCTTAAAAAAACTTTTTTCATTTTACATGCCAGTACCACTTTCCACTCCCTCCCCTCCTCCTGCTCCCTCCACTTTCCCCCTCTTCCCACCCTCAACCACTACTGGGAGAAGACATGGGGAGTCAAAAAGTCTAGCACATTGCTTTGAGGCAGGACCAAGGCCCTCCCCCACTGTATCTAAGCAGAGCAAGGTATCCCTCCAAAGAGAATAGGTTCCAAAAAGCCAGTACAAGCAATAGGGATAAATACTTGTCTCACTGCCAGTGGCTTCACAGTCTGCCCCAGCTATACAACTGTCACCCACATTCAGAGGAAACACTTTCAGAAGTAAAACCTATAATAAGTATTCAAAATTTTGATTCAGTAAGAAGTATCTGAACATAGATATAATAACCCTGACAGAGAAGTATGGTGTCTGCTGACTAAGCTAGGGGATAAATGGAATTGTATATCTTATTCTCTGTTCCAAGAGGAGTACTCTATCTTTGTAATCTTTTGCAAATAATGTGCAAATTGTTTCTATTCCACAGAATGGGATTTAATGAATTACTTCTGTGTCTCCTCAGTCTTGCCATATGATTAGGGGACCATGTTGCATGGCCCAGGGGATACTATTCTGTCTCTCCTTGTGCACAATCTGTCAACAGTGTGCAACAGTCCTAGAAACTAATGTGTATTTTCAGCGCACTGATAGGCAGTTGTGTATGAAAGATATTTGCCTCCTTATATAAACCAAAAATAAATAAGTGTACACAGTGTGTTCTGGAATCATGCTGCTATTGCATTGTGAGGCCACATGGTTTTCTTTGTTTGTAGTTAAACACCAAATAATTTTGGAGAAAAACAGAATAAAGGAGTGGGGAGGAAAAGCATAAGCATCGTTCTCTTTGAGCACCCCACTGCAGTTTGTTCCTTTGTATAAATATGGATCAAGTGTAAACTTGACAAATAGCATTGTGTTATATACTGCATAGATGGACAGTTGAGAAGATAGGACATCCGTCTCATGCCTCCCACAAGGTTCAGAGATTTAACAGTGGAAAAGGAGCAGAGAGAGTGTAAGAGCCTGAGGTAGGCATTGGTAGCAAAACAGACCTGTTGCACATGTGAACCCACAGACGCTGCAGCTTGTTGCACAAGATCAAGCTAGCCAGAAATCTCAGCCTGTGTAGGGGGCTTATGAAGTCGCACTTCCAGCAGAGGAGTTACCGACAAATGATGGCTACCGGGGAGGAAAATCAGTTTTCCCAGGGATGTAGTCCTTGAGATGCTACCATACTTTGGTAGATGGTCCTATATCCATGCACATGCAGGTAACAACCAAGTGGATTTTGGCTTCAAAAAAACATTATTTTAATGTGTATGGGTGTTTGCTTACATGTAAGTCTGTGTACCATATGCACATAGTGTCCATGAAAGTCAGAGGAGTTGCATCCCTTGGGATTAGAGTTAGAACTGTGGGCTACCACGTGAACACTGGGAGTCAAATCAGGTCCTCTGCAAGAGCAGCCAGTGCTCCTAACCACTGAGTCAGCTCTCCAGTCTCTGACTACTCAGTGGGTTTTAAAGGATGACCAAGTGACGTTGGGAAGCAAAAATGGTAGAAGGGATAAGGAACTTACTGGAGGGAAGCGAATGGGGAGTGGGTTTAATTAAAACACACATGCATGTGTGAAATTCTCAAAGAATAGGAAAAAAGGATGATCAAGAGAGTGCCCTCAAGGAGGGCAAAATGATGAAAAATATAATGTATATATGTACGCGATTTCCTTGAACCAAGCTGATCATTTTGCCAAATGTTTTTGTTGTTGTTTTTACTTATTTTTAATTAGTGTGTAAATGGAGACTAGGAAGATGTGAAGCATCTTGTGTTTGTTTACCGCTTGATGGCTGGGGTCCTTTTTGTGTGGAGCACACTGTACTTTGAAAGTGCTTGGAAGTGATTTATACTTCAGTGTGAGTATTCGTGTCCTACACAGATCACCCAAACTCACCTTTCCGGAGCATTTTCACACTGATCCACATCACGGTGTAAATCACCTCCCATGCCAGGTTGTAAAAGTTCAGACCAATGGTGTGTACCTTTATACAGCCTAACCTTATCAGCTGGAGCACACTGAAGAGTTGGTTTAGACCAGGGGGAGTTTTCCAGCGTGAAGAAAGGTCCCGTCTGTGTTTGAAGTGTGTGCATTCTAGGTGTTACTGCATTGGCTCCTCTATTTGGGATAAGCAGGTTTTCCTAAAAGCTCAGTGTCAAACAGTTATCTTTTGTTTTGTTGAAATAGGAGCGGTGGGCTGCATCCTCGGCACCCGGCCACCTGCACGGCTAGCTTTACCCGAAATAATTACACGGAAACTGTATTCTTTTAAACACTGCCTGGCCTCTTATTGGCTAGCTCTTACATATCGATCTAACCCATTTCTAATATCCCTGTAACACCACAAGGTGTTTTACCAGGGAAGATCTTAACCTGCGTCTGTGTCCCGTAGGAGAATCATGGTGACTCCCTGACTCAGCTTCTTTCTCCCAGCATTCTGTTCTGTTTTCTCCGCCTACCTAAGGGTTGGCCTATCAAATGGGTCTAGGCAGTTTCTTTATTAATAAGAAATCACTCCCACATCATTGTTTCTTCAGACAGCTCCTGCAGCTCAGTAATGTAGACCTCAAGAAGTGAGCTGTCTGCTACTCTGTGTCGGCTCCACGCTGTGGGTTAGAGCTGAGGTGCTGTCTCCCGGTTTGCCTTTCTGTCGCAGTAATAAAACATTGACCAAAAGCAGCCTGGGGAGGAAAGGGTTTGTTTTATCCTACAGTTTACTTTCCATCACTAGGGAAGCATAGACAGAAGGTCAAGGCGGGAAGGAAGCAGACACCGCAGAGGGTCGGGCTGTTTACTGATTGGTTCAGCTGCCTTGCTTATGCAGCCCAGGTGTACCTGCCCAGGAACGACGCTGTTTCCAGTGGGGTCGGCCTTCCTGCATCAATCAGCAGTCAGAAAAGCCCCATCTACACACATCCACAGGCCAGTCTGATGAAAGCCGTTCCTCAGATCAGTTTCTCTTGCTCCAGCTGACTCAAGTTAAAGACCGCTAACCGGTCTCGGTGGAGTACCGTCTGCAAACATAGTCCTCGTGACTGGGTGACTGGCTGGGTTAGCCAGGGCTTTTGGCAGGGCACGTTGGCTGGAACATCCACAGTGTGACCTGGCTTCCTTACAAAGCAGAGGCTGAGTTTTAAGGCCAGGCACACTGCAAGTGGCACACACTGCAGGAAGAGATGCTGGACTTTGAAGAAAGCAGCTTTTCAAGAGAAACTACTTATTTTGCATTATATTTTGAAATACCTGCGTTGACTGTATTATGATGGTTTGTTTCTTTAACTCATGCCACCCACCCTCCAACCCCCATGACTATTGATTGAAAGGAAGCAACAACGAATTCCCTTTGAGCGCT